TGAAATCTGAGTACATACGATTGTGTATTTTTCTGATGAATATCCATATTAATGAATCATCCTACTATTAATTTTTTAAACACTAAGGTGGGTTATTCGCACCAGTGCAGCACCGCTGACTGCGGCACTAGATGATGCAGGTTCGAATCTCACGGAGGATATTAAGGCTGCAGATACACCTAGCTGATGAATGTCGATAAGTATCATTATTTTATTTATTATTTATCCCTTAAGTTCCTAATGGAACATAGAGCTTCAGTAGCACGTCTACATTCCACTCTCTTCTCTGTAATCTTTCCAACCTGGTTCCACGAAAGGCCACAACCTTTCATTTCCTCCTCACACCATCTCCTCCATGTCACCCTCGACGCCGACGCCCTACTCGTCGTTTCCCATAGGGATTCCACTCGACGGACTGGCCTGGTCTGACGCGTGATGTCCCCAGTCGGTCTTCTCAGTGTATGACCAATCCATCTCCACTTCCTGCTACTGCTTATTTGTTGAGCGATAGGTTCTCGCTTAGTTGGTTCGTTGTCAGCCACAGTTCCTTGTTGCTTTTCTTATTATTCTGGCCATCTGATCTTCAGTAATGAGCCGGTGTAGGCAGTTGTTGATGAATGTCTGTAGTTTGTTGGAAATGCCTTTCATAACGCGCCAAGTCTCTGAACCATCAAACGGGAGCACTGACTTGACTGAATTGGTGTTGAAACTCCGGATGTTGTTCATGCTTTATGCTGAGTGCAGTGCAGAAGATCTCAACACTGGTTTCAGATTAATGAAAGCCTGTCTTGCTGTCTTTCGGATCGTGGTTTTGACATCCTCGTCTGTGCCGCCGCCTGTAGTTGAAACGATGCTGCCTAGGTGAGTAGGTGAAAGAGACTACTTTCTTTGAGTTTCTCCTTTTGATGGTGGTTGGAGCTTGTTGTTGTTGTTGTTGTTGTTGATGGTGGTGTTGGTTGGGTATCATCATCACCTGTCTTCTCTACATTCACTTGAAGTCCCGTCTTCGCTGCCTAGCCTCTTCTATCAACTTGTTAGTTTTCGCCTGTATATCTTCGAGTTTGTATGAGATTAGACACAAGTCATCACTGGCGAAATCCAAATCTTCTAGGATGTTTTCCTCGGTCCAGCGTATGCCCCCCCCTCTTCTCGCTCCTCATGGTTTGTTGCAAGATCCAGTCCAGTTGACCACAATCAGGAAGATCATCAGTGATAGTAGGCGGCAGCCTTGTCTTACTCCTGTCTTCACTTGAAAGACATCACTGAGCTGCTTCTCATTGTGAATTACTTGGTATGTGACGTCTTCATATAGTTGTTGAATGAGATTGATTAATAAGCATCATGTTATCATTTAATGTTTAATTATCCTAATGACTGATGTTTTTGAATAGGCTAAGGTTTTGCTGAGACATCTCAGTCTATAACATTGAACACCTTTTTCCAATTAACTTGTTGCATAATATTATATTCCTTGTTTTATTCAGGTTAGTAATACTGTTGCTCCCATTGTATGCTCCCTACATTTCAGAAAGCTAAAGAAAATATTAACAATAGCAGCATGATAGTTTTAAAAGGAATGAATATTCAACAGTTTGATTTTACATGTATACTATCAGCTATAACTGACACATAAGAAATAGTTACATCATAAAATTGTTTAATATGTTCATAAAGGTTCTATATTATTCATATTGCCATGTCCAAAAAAAACTTTGTTTTAAAATAAACGCTAAGATTAATTATACTGGAATCTTTGAATGTTTTTAGCAGAGTTAAGTTTAAGGCTTTCGTTTATCCTCTTCCATAGCAAGTGTAAGAAGATAATGGGATTGAATAATGAGGGAATAACTTTAATCTTTGTTATTATTTAGTGATTTTCTTATTTATCAAGCAATGAAATGCATGAAACACAATAATGAGAGTATTACTTTGGGCTGTTTATAAAAGACAATCCATTTTAAGGTTACAAGAAAGGCATGTTCCGGGAGAGAGAGAGAGAGTGGAGACTTGAACAACAATCTTTAGATTTTGCCCTTGATGACTACTGATTTCCACGATAAATGGAAGAGGTGGTAAGATAACATAAAATTTATTGCAAACGTCAAAATATAACAGTTTAGATATATTCACTATGGTCTTAACTATTTCCAGGTCTTCACACCCTATTGATTTCTATCTCTTCAACCAATCTGATATTTATATGTTGGTTCACATGCTTTGCCTCGAAACCCCTAAACAACACAATTGATTGTGAAAAGTTTCAAGGATTTAGGACTACGTATAAAGAGCTTGGCAGTTTTATTGTGCACTATAACAATAAGGCATTTTTAAAGACTGACAATGTGCCTAATAATGACAGCACAAGTAGAAAGGAGTTCACAGCCTATATTGTGTTATCCTATACAGAAGGTACATCAGAAACTTTACGTCGGATCCTCAACACAGCTGGAATTAAGGTGACATTTAAACCTAAAAACTCACTCAGAGATAAACTTTGTCGGCTGGCTTAAGGATCCGATCGAACCAATTCAGTAAAATAATCGAATCTATACAATTCCATGTTATGACTGTGAGGTTAAGTACATAGGTCAAACTAGTCGGTTAAGGTCAGTTAAAATATGATGTAGAATATTTGTAGCTCAGGTGGATGGTCTTGGTTGCATTGTGTTCTCTCAGCTGGGTTGTTTAATCTTGAAGCTTTCATCGTCTCTCTTCTAGATGACATCATCATCAGCACCAACTTCAGTATGAAGTGAGCTGAGTGATTTAGTAGCTTGCTCTGATCATGTGGTCTGTGATTGGTTGTTTCCTTCGATTGTTGTGTCATTGGTTGTATAGTCTTCCTGCTGGCTGTTCCTCTGCTTCACCTATGACCTTTCTGTCGTTTATCATTTTTCTTATTGGTTGATAGATCGGGTCTATGTCTATGCATCTATTGACTGCTGACTGACCTGAATGCCAAGCTTCTAGAAATTCTCTGATGTCGTCTAGCAAGGCGATGAAAGCTTCATGATTAAACAACCCAGCTCAGTTAGAATAGCCAAACATAAGAATCTAGTTAAGTATAGAATGACATACCTCAATAAGATCAGTGGTCTAGGAGACTCGGATATTGCAATGTTATCCATTAACACACAACCACACAATAGTATAGGTGTGATAAAACCGCTGTGCTTAACTCTAATATAATTAGGTGGAGAGAGATGGGGATTGATTACTGAATCTTTGTTCATCGAATCAACACGCAACACATGTTGAATAGAAATGACGCAACACCTTCATACCAGAGACATGGAAAATGTTACTACTAATAAAAGCAAATAATAAAAGGTGATAAGAATATAAAAAATTGTTGAATGTGGTGTGATTATGAGGAATAATTTATGCTAGAAACACCATAAAGTAAATAATACTGTATCATTGTGTGTTATAAACTAAATAAACAAAGCGAATATGGAACCTCCTATAAGGAGGTTGTACACTATAATAATAATAAGATACTTTTAAAGACTAACCATATGGTTAAATTAGTTATGGCAATCTATGTAAATAGGAACTATTCTCAACAAACTCTAAGCTTCAACTGTACTCTACATCATGACTTGTTTAGTCCTTCAAACATAGTTTAAATATAAACTACCATTAGAGAACCGGTAATATCAAGGCATCCGCACAGGATCCCATATGTCATTAGAGACCGATCAATTCGGTCAAATCAACGACAGTATGATATAAAAACAGTTTCAACTGGACGATGAAAGTTAGTTGGTTGGAGGCAATCGGCAGGAAGCCTTGCTTGACCTGGGTTTCGTGCTTTATGGCACTCGTCAGCAAGGCGTGTCTGCAACCTCGACGGAACTGATATCCCACGTGAGATTGGAACCCGAGTCACCCAGTGTTGTATTCAGAGACTTCACCACTGAGCTATTCGGGCCGCGATTGACTTCCTGTAGGACTGGCTTACATGTATTGATTGGTCACGGGAGTGCAACCAATTTCATGTTGTCTGGTCCTGAGTGCAGGCCGAATTCTATCGATCATATTTGCAATGTGGCAACCAAGCTAAGAAGCTCAGCATCACGGTGCAGATATGACCGATAGAATTCGGTCTGCACTCAGGACTAGACAACATGAAATTGGTTACACTCCCGTGACCAATCAGTAGATGATGAAAGTACTTTATTCAAGAAATGATTATCTAAACAGATCCTAGAGATCAATATGAATTCTGTTAAAGGATGCCTTGATGAAATCAAACTTACAACAGAGAAGTAATGAACTATCAATTTGTTTATCGAAAGAATAGTTCCGTTTAAAAGATTAATTCTTCAAAGCGATTATTAAATCCTGTATTTCCATCACCTCACTCACTCACCCACTCACTCACCCAGCCACTGACTCACTGACTCACTGACTCACTCATATATTTTATTTCAATTGTTAGCTGTTTGCAACTGATGAAAGGCCTTGAAATAGGATCAGCTTATTTATGCCGCAAATGTCTTTATTCTTGCTTTATTAACATTGAGGATAAACTTATATATCCCCAACTAGTGTATAGAGAAAGAAATTGATTTCACGGTTAGAAGAAACAGTCAGAATAATTAGAATTTATTACATTATAGTGAAGAATTAATTGATCACCGACGAGATAATAGAAGCAAAAACATTTAAAATAGACCTGTTACCCAAGAAGTGGCTATTATGACTCAGTGGTTCAGTAGATAACTCTTTAGCGTTTGAAGCGATCGGTCCCGGGCTCGAGTCCAGGTGGAAGACAAGTGTTTCCAGCTGATGAGTCCTAAATAGGACGAAACACGTATCTTGGATTCCACTACTAGCCTCTATCCATCAGTAATCTACCAATTTTAGTATAATTCAACATTGTATAATAGATTATAATACTAGTCATTTGAGAAAGTCAAAAAAAGATTTACTGAAGAGAATAACTATCACAATGTATATTTTCTCTAAATATTCAATAAACTAAAATTACTTACTTGAAGTAGTTTTATGAAATTTTCATCAGGTATACAAGTACGAAATTTAATTGATTGATGAAATATATCAACTAATGTTTTACTCAACATAGCCTTTGTACGATCCTGTGGAATAAAACAAGCAAACAGTACATTGAAGATGGTAACCTAAAGTTTATACATTGAAATAAAAATCTTCAAAACAATACAAAAAAAGAAGTTCATATCTATGAATATATAATTTAAATGGATCATCCTATTCTACTTCATTTTATATTGATAAATACGAAATTCGAAACTGTTAGTCCCTTTTATGAATTTCGATGGTGTAATTAGAAGATGAAGTTTATCTTAACAATGTGATGTATTTGCCAATACATTTTGAATAACCTTTTCACGAATTTACTTATATGAACAGGCGAAAACTAACAAGTTGACAGAAGAAACGAGGCAGCGAAAATGGGACTTCAAATGAATGTGGAGAAGACGGAGGTGATGAAGATATCCAACCAACAACAGCATGAACGGGAGAAACTTCAAGAAAGTAATCTCTTTCACCTAATTTCCTACTCAGCACTCTCTCAACTACAGGCGGCACAGACGAGGATGTCAAACCATGATCGGAAAGACAACAAGACAGGCTTTCATTAATCTGAAATCAGTGTGGAGATCTACTGCACTGCACTGAGCATAAAGTGTGAACAACATCCAGATTTTCAACACAAACGTCAAACAAGTCAGTACTGCTGTATGGTTCAGAACTTGGCGTGTCACGAAAAGCATTTCCAACAAACTACAGACATTCATCAACAGATGCCGCCTATGCTCTCTCGATACTGAAGATTAGATGGCCAGAAAGAACAAGCAATAAGGAAGTCTGGCTGGCAACAAACCAGCCAAGAACCTATCACCCAACAAATATACAGAAGGAAGTGGAGATGGATTGAGCATACACGGGGACGGCCGACTAGGGATATCCCGCGCTAGTCCCTCGAGTGGGATCCAAAGGGGAAAGACGAGTTGAGCGTTCGAGCTGAGGGTGACATGGAGGAGATCGTGCGGAGAAGAAATAAGAGCTTGTGGGCAGTCTTGGCATCAGGTTCAAGAGACTGCAGAGAAGAGACTGGAATGGAGACGTGCTACTGAAGCCTTATGTTCCACTAGGAATCCAAGGGAAAAATCATATATATATAGTCCCTTAGGACCATTACTAGCTGATATTTATATGTCATATATTGAAAATCTGGCCGGTGATCTCATCGCTATGTTGATATCATAGTGATTTGTAAGAGGCATATGAATATGACTACTAAAACGACTTAACACCATACAAACACACATCAGCCTGACTTATGAGAAACAGAATAATAATCATCTGCCATTCCTGGAAATACTCTTGAGTGGACAAGAACATGATATAATGAGATATTCGGTTTACATAAAGCCTACATGGACAGGATAATACCTGAATTTTCATATCCAATACAAGTGAGGCCTAGTAAAATATGTTTAAGAAGATCTATCGTACCAGAACATCCGATAAGATGGATGAAGATATTAAATTACTCACCAAAACACTTATGAAAAGTGGATATCTGATGAAGTTTACAAACCGTTGTAGAGGTCAAATACCAGTAGAGCCAACTCCACACACGGTTACTAAGAAAAGTGTCCATATCACTCTACTATACAGAGGGGAATTGAACAGTATTATTCTGAGACGTAAGCTAACATCAACCATTCAGAAAACATATTACGTAGCTAATCTCATCATTGTGAAAAAACAAAACACATACATCACCATTAACCTAAACACTGCATTGGGGATTACGTCATAACTGAGTGTGCGTGTGTGTGGTTACACATAAATACGGAGGAGTGGGAGAACATGTATCTAAATGGCTTCAAAAACAATTGGAGTGTAAAACCATGATAACTGTTGGTGGGAAACGACTCTCTTCATCTATAGCTAAACATATCGGAGAAACAAGTCACAAAATTAATGTTCAAACAGCTTTCAAAGTTTTATATAGAAACAGTTAGTCAGCGACAATTGTGAAAGTCATAGCCATCAACAAATTGAAATCATCCTTATGTGTACAAAAACAATTTGTTCTTACACACTACACCTATTTTGATAAACTTTGTTTTCTAACCAAGATTACGATTAACAATGTCACTTCCTGTTTGGTCTCATCTTTCTTAATTTTAATCCTCTATTGTGTTAATTGTTGTATTTGTCTTCCCACTCCTCAGTTTAATATATATATTGACTTGAGACAAGTCCATGTATCATCAGAATGTTTGAAATGTATTGCGTAAATACATCTCCTTGTTCAGATAACCTCCATCTTTTAATTACGCTATCAAAACACTAAATTAACTTTAATATAACCTAGAGACGACTATTGCAACTGAGTCTAAGTAAACGAGAACATTTTCTGGCTTAGTTTGGAAATGGTGAGGTTAGAGAGATGAAAGAGTTTCATCTTAGCCCACTTGATGAAGGCGGGATATCATACACGTGCAGTTACAGCTTTTAATTTCATGCACTGTGCTATGGATGGATAACCATAACTGGTTCACCAACATCTACATTTAACTGAAGTTGTAACAATAAGATTGAATAGACTCCAGTGTTTGAAAAGAATATTTACAATCAAACAGTAATGACAAATAAAATGAAATAAAATGCAATTCCCATGAAATCATGAAACGTCCTCATGTTTACAAATATGTTTTATAAAATCTACGCTACAGTTCATTCCGTCCCGTTGTACTGCTGTAAAACACAAACGTTAAAAGTAGATGAAGCGAAGTGCTCGCAGAGTTTTGTTCACAGATGTCATCGTAGCATTGTTGGCGTTTGCTAGAATCACTGTGTGAACAATGTTGAGGTCAGGTGAAAAGTACTAGGCAAGATAGGCAAGTCGAATGATGAGGTTATAAACCTTAGTCAACTGAGATGGCTTGGGAATGTATCGCACATCCCTCACTGTTGGCTTGAGCTGTGTTGGTAGGTGTAGACTTCCTGGTTGGGGTCCGTCAGACGAAGGACTCTTGGTGTCATGGAGGAAAATTGGTCACCATGCTGCAGATGTATTCACTCGCTGACATTTCCTAATCCTTGAATATATACTTGCTCTGTTAACTAGTTCACTAGTTACTAGGCGGTCCGAAGCCGGAATAAAGAGAGAAGGTTGCTAAAGAAACTTCAAAGCATAAACAAAATATAGAAATAAAAACAAATTTATTCCTCGCTGGAATCAGAGAGGCGGAATCACGCTGGTAGGTGAAAGCCTGCCTTCGGGAAGCCAGTAGGCCTGGCCGATGTGTCTTCTCTCTCTCTCGATGAAAGTGAAAGTAAGCATAGAGATATGGAATGTCCGCACCATGTATGAACCTAGCAAGGCTGCCCAGATTGCAAACGAGATGAGAAGATATAGCATAGAAGTGTTAGGAATCTGCGAAAGCAGATGGAGTGGAAGTGGACTCTCAAAACTTCCAACTGGATAAAAGTCAATAATCTACTCCGATGTTATCACGCAGACGACAGCCACGGGCACACTGAGTTTTGGAGTGGTTATCATGATGTCCCTGAGAGCCTCGAAGGTTCTCATGTAGTAAGAACAAATCTCCTCATAACAGCAGGATTCAAATCCAAAGGAAGGAAAGTCACAGTCATACAATGCTACGCTGTGCGCCTACAAATAAAAAAGAGAAGAATGAGGAACTCTATAGACAACTGCAATCAGTACTGGACACCCAGAAACTGAAGGATGAAACTACAAAGAACATCTTCACATCAGCTATCAGGAAAAAATGGGAAACATTAGGCAACATCTCCGAAGAAATCTATGTGCAAGAACACTGGAACTTTTTGAAAGAGATGTGGAAGGAAACCTGCATAACTGTGTTAGGAAGGAAAAAGGAGCAAGACAAAGTTCTCCACGGATACATGGAAGCTGATAGAGGAGAGAAGAGTGGTGAGCAGAAGATGAACGAGTGCAGTGCATGGATGAACAGTGAAAAGAGGAACTGAGTACAACGTATAAAACACTACACTGGACAAGGAAGTGAAGAAGAGTGCACGCAAAGACAAAAGACACTTCTACGAAACACTTGCAAGTGGAACAGAACAGACTACAGGTAGGAGACACCTGACAACATTGTATCAAATAACTAGGTTACTATCTGGGAAGAGATCAACGCAGACGAAACCAATAAGAGATGATGTCGGAAATTTAATTACGAAAGAAGACAAAAAAGGAAACGATGGGCTGACCACTTCAAAAAGCTCTTGAATCGATCACCACCTGCACTTCGTCCAGAAATACCACCAACGGACCAACAGCAGAATCATCAGTGAACACAAGCCCTCCGACAAAAGCCGAAGTGAAGTCCTGAACGCTACAAAGTTGCTGAAATTCGAGAAAGCAGCAGGACCAGGTGGAATTCCACCAGAAGCACGGAAAACAGGTGCAGAGACAACAGCGGACACGATCATACCACTGTTGCAGATGCGCTGGATTCAAAATTACGACCATAACAGGCTGGATTCAGGAAGTACAAATCATGTGTGGATCAAATTACAACGCTACGCATCATCATATAACAGAGTATAGAATGGCAGTCTAGTCCACTCACTACCTCAACTTCATCGACTTTGAAAATGCCTGCGACAGCATCGACGGAGAAGTAATTTGGCAACTGCTTCAACACCACGGAATACCTTTATCAACCTCATTAGACAGACATAGGAAAACGCCACATGCCAAGTGATTCACAGTGGGAAGCTCAGTGACTCCTTTGAAGTGAAGACAGGAGTAAGACGAAATTGTCGCCTACCATCACCAACGATCTTCCTGATTGTGGTCAACTGGAACAGATGATGCAAGAAACTGCAAGCAGCAAGCAGAGGCTCATACGATGACTCGACCGACAAAAAGACCACAGAAGAAGATTTGGATCTCACCGATGATGATTTGTGTCAAAAGTCGCGTAAACTTGAAAATCTACAAAGGAAAACTAACAGGTTGGCAAAAGGGGCGGGTCAACGAAGACGGAACTTCCTTCAGGTGAGTGTAGAGAAGACAGAGGCGGTGAAGATAACGAACTAACAACAACAACAGCAACAAAAAACAAGCACTATTCAACATTAACGGGAGAAATCTAAACGAAATTGTCTTTTTCACCCACCCAGACAAGGCAGCATCGTTTCAACTACAGGTGGCACAGGCATAGATGAGGACACCAAGGCCAGGGTCGCAAAAGCAGCATAGGCCTTCATTAACCTGAAACAAGTGTGGAGATCTACTGCACTCAGCACAAAGCGTGAACAACATACGGATATTCAACACTAATTCAGTCAGTCAAGTCAGTGCCTTCATGTGATCATCGAGAGACTAGGCGCATCACGATAACCATTTCCAACAAACTACACACATACATCACATCAACAGCTACCACATACACCTACGCTCACTCAACACTGACACTGAAGATCAGATGGATGGCCAGAATAATAATAATAAGCAAGGAACAGTGAAATCTGGATGTTTTGGCAACGAACCAGCAAACAGCCTATCACCCAACAGCTATACAGAAGCAGAGAGTGGAGATGGATTGGATTGGTCATACACTGAGAAGACCAGTTGAAGACATCACGCATTAGGCCAGGCAAGTCCCTTGAGTGGAACGCACATGGAAACGACGAGTTTCGCGTCCGAGACGATGGTGACATGGAGGAGATTGTGTGAAGCAGATATGAAAGTTTGTGGGGAGTTGTGGAGTCAGGTTGAGTAGACTGGAGAGAATGGAGTGAAATAATGACGTGCTACTGAAGCCGTATGTTCCACTAAGAACCGGAAGGACAAAACATAATGATGCTTGAATATTCACACAAACTTTTATTTCCAGATTCTATGGGAGATTCTACGTTGATTTTTCAGTCGATCTGTCAATTGTATAAACCAGAGTAGCAGTAAGCACAATAATACACTACTTACTATCAGAATCACATTATTAGATGGTGTCGATAGGGCTCAGTCAAGTTAAATCACACATTTCTATGCATTTATAGCAAGCTGCATGTACAGCAATGTTTGTTTAAGAAAGACGGCGGCCTGCTTGAACGTTGGTCTGTGTTCTATGGCAAATCTAAACACTCTGGAGTATGCTTATTTCTATTGTTGATGTTTCGAAAACACCTTTAGGAATTGATCTTACTCAAAATTGACATATACAAAGGCCAATCACTAATTATTCCTATCTGTTATATACTTATGAATGCTAGACCACAAGAAAGAACTCAACGGACTGGCTAAATCCAATGGTATATTTGACAGACCATGGCAAAATACTAATACGTTCCAGGTAGCTGGCCAAACGATCACCTACAAGTAGTACAACGTAACATGACAACATGCCAAATAGTGTAGATGCATGACTTCAGCTTAGTTTAATCCGATGAAACTATGAAAGTCAGCATCAATCTTGAATCTCATCGTACCCAAGACTATTGATTTTGGGGAATTATTTTCCGTTGTATACCTACTCATTTTATGGTTGAATCAAAAATCATAAAATAAACCTGGTTATTGACATTATAATTCTGTATAATATGAAGAATAGTTGAAATTGATGAAGCACTAGATATTCATTTCATTCTATAACCTTTTTTCACCAAATTCGTTTCTTTCAATTTGTTTTAATCATTTAAATATTTCCTTTGAACGTATCATATACTCTGGCACATTTTTAAACTGTTTCCCAACTCTCCTTTTCTTGAGTGTCAATAACAATACAGAGAAAAAAAAGAAAATGTTATGTTATATGGAAATGAATTTTTCAGTGCATAAAAGTACATCATATTTTTGTTCATCAGATACTAGGCTTCAGTTATAGATTTTTGTATCGGTTAAATAAATCACCACAACCAAACTTACCTTTGTATTTCTGGTGATTCTTAATTATGAATCGAATACTCATCCAGAGAACTAGCTGAGTATTTCTTATTATTGCCTTGAATACTGTTATCATTAACATTATTCTAATGGAATAATCATTTCGTCTGAAAATATTGTTGTTCTGAGAGTGAATTTGTTGAAAAACTACAGGCTGAGAATTTCACAATGTCATACATATTGTCTGGAATATTTATTATTATCTATTATTAGTCCCTTGGGTTCCTAATGGAACATAGGGATTCAGTAGCATATCTCTAGTGAACTCTGTTCTCTGAAATCTTTTCAACCTGGCTCCATCACTGCCCACAAGCTCTCATTTCTTCCTCACACCATCTCCCCATGTCACCCTCGGCACCGACGCACAACTCGTCGCTTCCCATGGCGATTCTATTCGAGCGACTGGCCTGACGCGTGATGTCTCCAGTCCGCCTTCTCAGTGTATGCTCAATCCATCTCCACTTCCTGCTACTGCTTATTTTGTGGGTGATAGGTTCTTGCTTAGTTGATTCGTTGTCAGCCAGAGCTTCTTGTTGCCTATTCTTATTATTCTGGCCATCTGATCTTCAGTAATGAGCCAGCGTAGGCAGTTGTTGATGAATGTCTGTAGTTTATTGGAAATCCCTTTCGTAACACGCCAAGTCTCTGAACCGTCACACAGAAGCATCGACTTGATGTTGGTGTTGAAAATCCGGATGTTGTTCATGCTTTATGCTGAGTGCAGAACATCTCCATACTGTCTTGCTTTTCTGATCCTGACTGTGTTTGACATCCTCGTCTGTGCTGCAGCCTGTAGTTGAAACAGTGCTTCCTAGATAGGTGAAGGAGGTTACTTCATTGTCTGGAATAGGGCGACTATTATTATTATCATCATCACTATCATTAATTAGTAGTAGTATTGGTATTATTATTACTTACCAATGAATAGTATGTGTTTCACATTAAAGTGGATAATAGTAAACGGTTAAAAACTTTCTGGCAAGTTTATACAAAGAATGACTGTCTAATTAATTAGTACTATATTATTTACATATATTAAAACTTTAAAAAGTCACTGGAATTAGTACTTACTTTCAATACTCGATTACTCAATGAACATAATTCAATGACGCTAGTCAAACGGAAATGTACATTTTCTACAATTACACGAAGTAAATTTGAAAATGTATCTGGAAGTGTCTATACAACAAGAAAGAGGAAAAAAACAACAAAAAAAATAAATTTTGAGGGAGTTGTGAAGATTTTGGAATTATTTCAAGTTGTTATTCATCGTAGACTGACATCAGCCGCGCTGGCCGCGGATTCTGAAGGTCGCGGGTTCGATCCCTGCTGGTGGGGTCGTGGGTGCGCACTGCTGAGGAGTCCCATACTAGGACTAAACAGCTGTCCAGTGCTCCCAGGTTTCCTTTGTTCCTCCAATTGATGTCAGTCTACGATGAATAACAACTTGAAATAACAAAAAATAAAATAAATCCAGTGTACTAAGTGAGTTATGGTAACAATGATGGCAAGTAATTAATTAAAGAGAAGTAATTGAGGGCCGAGAAAATGGGTATAAGCTAGCTGAACCGATGAAAAGACACTAGAAGATTTGGATTTCGTCACCGATGATGATTTATGTCGCACAAACATCAAGATCTATAAGCGAAAAATAACAAACTGGAAGAACAGACGTGACAGCAAAGACGGAACTTCGTTCAGGTGGGCGTAGAAAAGACAGAGGTGATGACGATACCCAGCCAACAACAACGACAACAAGCACCATCAACGGCAGAAATGTCAAAGAACTAGTCTCTTCTACCTAACTACCTATGCAGCATCTTTTCAACTACAGGCACCGAAGGAACAAATGATGTCAAAGCCAGAATCGGAAAGACAGCGAGACAGGCCTTCATCAGTTTGAAATCAGTGTGGACATCTACTGAACTGCACTGCACTGCACTCAGTATAAAGCGTGAACAACATACGGATATTCAACATTAAGTCAGTCAGTCAAATCAGTGCCTTCATGTGATCATCGAGAGACTAGGCGCATCACGATAACCATTTCCAACAAACTACACACATACATCACATCAACAGCTACCACATACACCTACGCTCACTCAACACTGACACTGAAGATCAGATGGATGGCCAGAAAAATAATAATAAGCAAGGAACAGTGAAATCTGGATGTTTTGGCAACGAACCAACAAACAATCTATCACCCAACTGGCATGGCCTGGTGCATGATGTCCCCAACTCGTCTTCTCAGTGTATGACCAATCCAATCCAATTCATCTCCATTCTCCTACTCTGTATTGCTGTTGGGCGATAGGTCGTTCGTTGGTTCGTTGCCAGAACATCCAGATTTCACTGTTCCTTGCTTATTATTATTATTCTGGCCATCCATCTGTTCTTCAGTGTCAGTGTTGAGTGAGCGTAGGTGTGTGTGTGTGGTAGCTGTTGATGTGATGTATGTGTGTAGTTTGTTATCGTGATGCGCCTAGTCTCTCGATGATCTCATGAAGGCACTGATTTGACTGACTGACTGACTGACTGACTTAGTGTTGAAAATCCTGATCTTGTTCTTTATGCTGAATGTAGTAGATTTCCACACTAATGTACATGTACATGTTCAGTAGAAATCTAGTTAATTCTGTTCATTAAAAATCTTCTTATTGGAAATTATCACAATTGGATTTCATGCTAGTTGAGAAGACCAGGTGACAGCTATCAAAACTCATTCTATTTTGGTCGACTACATCACTAGTAAAATGAAAACAATTTAGACAAATCAACGCAGAATCTGACGGACAAGTTGTCAGACTTTACAATGACATCGTTGAAGAAGAGGGTTAAACAAGAATTACCTTGAAGTTGACAAGAGTATTTAAAAGGGGGTTAAATTAATAAATGAATGTCAATGGAAAAATTTAAGGCATCGAAGATTACAAAGGACTTATACATTTATGGCTCAGAGACTTGGCGCATTTCGAAGGGGATTTCCAACAAACTACAGACATTCATCAACAACTGCCTACCCTGGCTCGTTACTGAAGATTAGATGGCCAGAATAGTGAGAATAAGTAACAAGGGATTGTGGCTGGCTGGCTGGCTGCCTTGTCGGGACTTCTCATCGCAGTCGAAATGTAACTGAATTAAAGTAGAGGGGGGGGGGCATCATAATGGTTATCATTTTGACTATCTGAGATATCCATGGTCTGGCAGGCTAGTATTGTTAGTAAGTTTTGATTGAAGGTGAAATGAACACTTGGATTGTGGTCAGATTCGAAGCAGTTAGAATGGCAGTCCAGTCCACTCTCTACCTCAACTTTATCGACTTTGAGAAGGCCTTTGATAGCGTCGACTGAGAGGTAATTTGGAAACTGCTTCAATACTACGGAATACCACAAACCTTTATCAGCCTCATTCAACAACTATATGAAGACGCCACATGCCGGTCAAGTAATTCACAATGGGAAGCTCAGTGATGCTTTTGGAGTGAAGACAGGAGTGAAACAAGGTTGCTGTCTACTATCCCCCATGATATTCCTGATTGTGGTCGACTGGACTGGACTGGATCATGCAACAAACAGTGGGGAGCTGTGAGAAGAGGGGATACGCTGGACCACGGGAAAGAACCTAGAAGACTTGGATTTCGCCAATGATGACTTGTGTCTGATGTCACACAAACTTGAAGATGTACAGGCGAAAACTAAGAAGTTGACAGAAGAGGCACGGCAGGGCAGAGAAGACGGGACTTCAAGTGAATATAGAGAAGACAGAAGTGATGAAGATACCGCACCAACAACTACAACAACAACAACAACAACGAACTCCAATCACCATCAATGGGACAAACTTAAAGGAAGTAACCTCCTTCACCTATCTAGGAAGCACTGTTTCAACTATAGGCGGTGGCACAGACGAGGATGTCAAAGTCAGAATCCGAAAAGCAAGACAGTGTAGAGATGTTCTGCATTCAGCATAAAGCATGAACAAGATCCGGATTTTCAACAACAACCTCAGTCAAGTCAGTGCCTCTGTGTGATGGTTCAGAGACTTGGCGCGTTGTTAAAGGGATATCCAATAAACTACAGACATTCATCAACAACTGCTTACGCTGGCTCAATACTGAAGATCAGATGGCCAGAATAATGAGAATAAGCAACAAGGAGCTCTGGGAACGAACCAACTAAGCGAGAACCTATCACCCAACAAATAAGCAGTAGCAGGAAGTGGAGATGGATTGAGCATACACTGAGAAGGCTGACTGGAGACATCACGCATCAGGCCAGGCCAGGCCAGTCCCTCGAGTGGAACCCAGCTGGGAAACGACGAGTTGGACGTCGGTGTGGAGGGTGACATGGAGGAGATGGTGCGAGGAGGAAATGAGAGCTTGTGGGCTGTCGTGGAACCAGGTTGAAAGGATTTCAGAGAACAGAGTTCACTGGAGATGTGCTACTGAATTCCTATGTTCCATTAGGAACCCAAGGGACTAATAATAATAATCATAATAAATAATTTATAGATTGAAAATTGATAAATTTACCTTGAAACTTGATGCAACCGGTGAACGTAGTACATAAGTCATAATGCGTACAGTAGTAGCTAAATTATTTGGTATTGGTGTAATTGTAGACAATTTTCTTAGAAATATATCTAATGGTCCAATAATATCTGTCCATCCAGAAGCGATAAAATGATTCATTTTAACATCATCAGTTAAATTAGGTAAATATTCTAAATAATTAGCAAGATTTTCTAATAGTATAGGTAAAGTATCCAGATTAATTGATTTTTGTTTATTTAATGATTCCAATAACAAATTAATTGGTTGAAAGAATGACATATGATCTTCAAAATCAACAAGTACTGATATAATTGTCTTGAAGAAACTATCATCTGTTTGTAAGAGAAAAAGAGAGAGAGAGAGAAAAAAAGGTAAATAAATGTAGAAAGTTATAGAACGAAAAAAAAGACAGAAAACAGACTGATTGAACAAAAGAATATATTCTTTTTCAATTAAGTCTTTGTCTTTGACTATACACTAATTTATAAGTTTACAATTCAGTTAGTACAAAAGGCTCGGTTAGTTTTTGCCAATATATGCCACCTGTTGTACCACTGTGATATCTGATTGTCTATTAACGGTCACGTGTACTGCACAGCAAGCAGTCTGCTCTGTTCTACTCTATGACTATGAAACATGACCATTGAAGGTGGAAGACATGAGAAGGTTGATTTCAGGTGTTTGACCACCGTTGTCTTTGTAAAATAAGCTGTGTTCCATGGTGTCACTATGTGAGTAACGTTGAAGTCAAGTGTAGAATTATAGAGAGAAGAGGTAAGTCAGTTGACACTGTTGTAAACCTTTATCGACTGAGACAGATGGCTGAGACACGTGTTACGTATGCCTAGTCGCCGATTACCTCGTCATATAATGTTCGCCGAAGTTGGTTCAGGCTGGATAAAGGCTAGATTGTTGGTTTCACCCATATGGTGAGATGCAGACTAGGCGGTTGAGGTCTGTCGGACAAGAGGGACCAGAGGTTGGAGACTCTAGGTGATCATATGGCTCAGAATCGATGTCAGTGGTGCAGATGTATGCACACATTATCCTCATCTTAACGACGTTATACCGCATCTCACCATTTTGTTGTCCTTCCTTTCTTCCTTTTAGTACTTTATGTTTCTTTCGACTGAATTCTCTTATTTTCATCTTTCACCTCATTACCTTTCTACTTGATGTACTGATATGAGGTGTGGCAACTCGGACTGTTACTCAGTAATGCCTGGTCCTATGTTGATTTAGATAAATGGATAAATTCAGTCAAAATACCAATCAAGTGCTGGGAGTTGATGGATAATAATTATGAATTTTAAGTAGCTTATGAAGACGATAAGTCTGAGAAATCAAAACGCTGCAAATAATCAACAGAATAATTATATGTGATTACAAATGGTAAGAAGAATTTTGCAAAGAGCACTCTTAGCTATTAAATTATATCCTATCTTCTAGAATTGATGGCTTCTAGGTGTAAGAAATAAAAACAAACGGCATGATTCTGTCACTTTCATGTGGATATATCAGTTCAACTACTCCTGTGGAGCTATTTACATTGGGCGTATAATGATGTAGGTTCATCGTCAAATTTCTGAACATCATCCCTTATGATTGAATAAGTGACAGATTAGAATAGTTAAGTGCTGCATACTTATTTGACATTGAACATCAAGTGGATACTGGTAAAGCATTTAAACTTATTCATCGTATACCAACGAATTTATCACATGAACTAGGCAATCACTGACTTCATAAAACAGAGGTGATTTTCATCCACTTTTACAAACATAACTATTGTACTCAAAATAATTTCATTCGATCACTTTGATTATCGAGACCGTCAAAATGATGTAAATTTTTGTATTACTTTGCACGCCTCTTCCTACTAATGTGAATTTTGTTTTCTGAATTATTATATTTATTATTTGTCCCTTGGGTTCCTAATAGAACATAGGGCTTCAGTAGCACGTCTACATTACTACACTCTCTTCTCTGCAAACTTTAGAACATGGTTCCACGAAAGCCCACAAGCTCTCATTTCTTCTTCAAACCATCTCCTCCATGTCACCCTCACCTCGGATGCCCAACTCGTCGTTTCCCATCTGGGTTCCACTCGAGAGACTGGCCTGGCCTGATGCGTGATGTCCCCAGTCACCCTTCTTTGTGTATGCCCAATGCATCTCCACTTCCCGTTACTGCATATTTGTTGAGCGATATGTTGTTGGTTGAACCTCGCCTGGTTAACTAGTTTACTAGTTACTAGCCGGTCCTAAGCCCGGGTAAAGAGGGAAGGTTGGGCATAGGGCTAGCAACCCTACCCCGTAAAACAAATCTAACCGCTAAAGAAACTTCAAAGCACAAACAAAATATAAAAAATGAAAACAAACTTATTCCCCGCTGGAATCGGAGAGGCGAAATGACGCCAGTTGGTGAAAGCCTTCGGGAAGCCAATTGGCCGATGTGTCTTCTCTCGATGAAAGCGAAAGTAAACGTGGGGACATGGAATGTCCGCACGATGTTTGAACCCAGTAAGGCAGCCCAGATTGCAAAGGAGATGAGAAGGTATAACATCGAAGTGCTTGGGATTTGCGAAAGCAGATGGAATGGGAGTGGACTCTCCAAACTGTCAACTGGAGAATCAATAATCTACTCCGGTCACCCAGACGCCAACCACGAGCACACTGAGGGAGTGGCTATCATGATGTCCTCAAGAGCATCGAAGGCTCTCATGCAGTGGGAACCAATCTCCTCCAGGATCATGACAGCAAGATTCAACTCAAAAGGAAGAAAGGTCACAATCATACAATGTTATGCACCTACAAATAATGCAGAGCAAGAGAAAAAGGAGGAATTCTACAGACAACTTCAATCAACACTGGACAAGACGTCAGTTGGCGATATCAAAATTCTAATGGGCGACATGAATGCCAAACTGGGAGGGGACAACACGGGAAGAGAACTAACCATGGGTCGAGAGGCGCTAGGTGAAATGAATGAGAATGGAGAATTGTTTGCAGAATTCTGTGCATTCAACGATTTGGTGATTGGAGGCAGTGTGTTCAGGCACAAGGATATCCACAAAGCGACATGGACTTCACCAGATGGACACACTAAAAATCAAATCGACTTTATCTCAATCTCAAGAAAATGGAGACGCAGTCTACTTAACACAAGGTCAAGAAGAGGAGCAGATGTAGGTTCAGACCACTATCTAGTGCAAGGAACCTTCCAAATCAAGTTAAAAGCCTTCAAGGAAGCTGGTGATAGACCTCAATTCAAGTACAACACTCGGAAACTGAAGGATGAAACTACAAAGGAGATCTTCAAAGCAGCCATCAAGACAAAATGGGAGACGTCGAGGGACATCCCTGAAGAAACCTGTGTAGAAGAACACTGGAAGTCTTTGAAAGCTATGTGGAAAGAAACCTGCACAACAGTATTAGGAAGGAAGAAGAAAGAAGACAAGGAATGGATCTCGACGGATACCTGGAAGCTGATAGAGGAGAGGAGGATGGTGAAGCAGAAGATAAACCAGTGCAAGGATGCTCAACGACAAGAGGAACTGAGCACAATGTATAAAACACTGGATAAAGAAGTGAAGAAGAGTGCACGCAAAGACAAAAGACACTTCTACGACACACTGGCAAGTGAAGCAGAACAGGCTGCAGGTAAGAGAGACCTGACGACATTGTATCAAATAACCAGGTTGCTATCAGGGAAGAGACCAACACAGATGAAACCAATAAAAGATGAAGAAGGAAATTTAATTACAAAAGAAGAGAAACAGAGGAAACGATGGGCCGACCACTTCAAGAAGCTCTTGAATCGACCACCACCTGCACTTCGTCCAGAAATACCACCTGCAGCCGCTGAATTACAAGTGAACATAAATCCCCCAACGAAAATGGAAGTCCTGAACGCCATAAAGCTACTGAAATGCGGGAAAGCAGCAGGACCAGATGGAATACCGCCAGAAGCACTGAGAACAGATGCAGAGACAACAGCGGACATGCTCACACCACTATTGCAGAAGGTGTGGAAGGAAGAGAAGGTACCTGACGATTGGAAGAAGGGTTACCTTGTCAAACTGCCGAAGAAGGGAGACCTCAGTGCTTGCAAGAACTGGCGCGGAATCACTCTCCTATCCACCCCAAGTAAAATATTAAGCCGCATCATCCTGGAGAGGCTTAAAGACGCACTGGATTCAAAACTGCGACCGGAACAGGCAGGCTTCAGGAAGTACAAATCATGTGCTGACCAAATTGCAACGCTTCGTATCATCATAGAACAGAGCGTAGAATGGCAATCAGCTCTATACCTCAACTTCATCGACTTTGAGAAGGCCTTTGACAGCGTCGACCGAGAAGTAATTTGGAAACTGCTTCAATACTACGGAGTACCGCAAACCTTTATCCGCCTCATTCAACAACTATATGAAGATGCCACATGCCAAGTAATCCACAATGGGAAGCTCAGTGATGCCTTTGAAGTGAAGACAGGAGTGAAACAAGGTTGCCTACTATCCCCCATGATATTCCTTATTGTGGTGGACTGGATCATGCAGCAAACAGTAGGCAGCGAGAAGAGGGGGATACACTGGACGACGGAAAAGAACCTAGAAGACTTGGATTTCGCCGATGACTTATGCCTAATGTCACATAAACTTGAAGATCTGCAGGCAAAAACTAACAAGTTGACAGAAGAGGCAGCTAAGACGGGACTTCAGGTGAATATAGAGAAGACAGAAGTGATGAAGATACCGCACCACCACCATCAACAACAACAACAACAAACTCCAATCACCGTCAACGGGAGAAACTTGAAGGAAGTAACCTCCTTCACTTATCTAGGAAGCACTGTTTCAACTACAGGCGGGACGGACGAGGACGTCAAAGTCAGAATCGGAAAAGCAAGACAGGCGTTCATTAGCCTGAAACCAGTGTGGAGATCTTCTGCACTCAGCATGTGGAACAAGATACGGATTTTCAACACCAACGTCAAGTCAGTGCTCTTGTATGGCTCAGAGACTTGGCGCGTCACGAAAGGTATTTCCAATAAACTACAGACATTCATCAACAACTGCTTACGCTCGCTGCTGAAGATCAGATGGCCAGAAAAAATAAGCAACAAGGAACTCTGGGAACGAACCAACCAAGAACCTATCACGCAACAAATATGCAGGAAGAAGTGGAGATGGATTGGCCATGCACTGAGAAGGCCGACTGAGGACATCACGCGTCAGGCCAGTCGCTCGAGTGGAATCCCCATGGGAAGCGACGAGTTGGACGTCCGAGGGTGACATGGAGGAGGTCGTGCGAGGAGGAAATGAGAGCTTCTGGGCTGTCGTGGAACCAGGTTCAAAAGATCTCAGAGAACAGAGGTCACTGGAGGCGTGCTACTGAAGCCCTATGTTCCACTAGGAACCCAAGGGACTAATAATAAATAATGTTGTTGGTTGATTCGTTGCTAGAGTTCCTTGTTGCTTATTATTTCTGGCCATCTTTAGTTTTAAGTAATTACGATAGTATTCATCATGAGCTGACAACATTTTGAAAATCACTGAAAACATGGGATCACTGGACAGCTATTTCTTTGTAGTATGATACTCCTCACCAGTGCGCACCCACAACTCCGCCAAAAATCAAACTCATGACCTTCAGGTTTGACGGTGAACACGTTAACCATTCAGTCATTGGATAAGAGTTAAATGGTACACAGTTTCTAACTTCTTACTTTTTGCGATATAGCGTGACTATCCACCAAGGTATTCAGTTGGCATCCGCTTCACTTCCGACTGCTTGACTTTACTGGTTTCCAATGGTTGTTAAACTGATGTCAGTTTGTCATGAATACTACCTGAAAAATATATCCCCATTAGCCTCAGAATACATTCTGCAGTCATTATTTATTGTTTATGACTAACCGCTTAAGAAAAAATACACTCCATCTACTTTACCAGTTATAATACAATTTACCTTAGAATAACCTGCTTCACATTATTATGATTACTATTTTTAATCACAAATAATTATTCTGTTAATCATTAGCAGTATCTTGATCGCTCAAACTTATCATCTTCATGACTTACTGAAGATCTGTAATTATTGTTTATTAACCCTACACCACCATTTGATTGATATTTGATTGAATTGTAAACCTGTATTTACGAAGATGAATATGCAATTGGTAAGCAATATATTTCTTCATTCAGTCAGTGATATGTTTAGCTATGGTTACTGATGATTTAAGGGCCAGCATGGTAATCAAACTCGTTACTGAAGATCAGATGGTCAGAAAGAATAAGCAACAAGGAACTCTAGCAACGAATCAACCAACAACATATCGCTCAACAAATATGCAGTAGCAGGAAGTGGAGATGCATTGGGCATACACTAAGAAGGGTGACTGGGGACATCACGTGTCAGGCCAGGCCAGTCCCTCGAGTGGAACCCAGATGGGAAACGACGAGTTGGGCGTCCGAGGTGAGGGTGACATGGAGGAGATGGTTTGAAGAAGAAATGAGAGCTTGTGGGCTTTCGTGGAACCATGTTCTAAAGTTTGCAGAGAAGAGAGTGTAGTAATGTAGACGTGCTACTGAAGCCCTATGTTGTATTAGGAACCCAAGAGACAAATAAATAATCATAATAATGGTAATCAAACAGATAAAGATGATTTTCCAAAACAGATCTCTTTTACTAAAAAATAAATACTTGAAGAAATTTATCTGAATACTTATCAATGACACAGGGTGATGGTTTGGCCATTTAAAAAGTTGTTACTGAATGATGATTGGAAGTGAAATGAAAGTCTTGGTCGCGGAAGGAATAAAGCCCATAACTTCCGGATTCATAGACCATTAGGTCACTGGTACGAGTCCTGTCGGGGCCTAGATTTTTTTCACCTTCAATCCTCATTCAGCATCAGTAATACAAGTCTAAAAAACCATGGTTATCTCAGATAATCAAGTGAGAAAATGTGGACCATCCATCTTATTCGACGGCAGTGACTGAATGGTAAGGTGCTAGCTCGTGGATAAATCTGATCTTCGTAGGCTCAAACCCTTATGAAGTTGTTAGTGGGCACTGATAAAGAGTTCTATAGTAGGACGACAAATATGCAGAAAAAAGTGGAGATGGATTGGGCATACAGTCAGAAGACCGACTAGGGACATCACGCACCAGGCCAGTCCCTCGAGTGGAATCCAAAGGGGAAACGATGAGTTGGGTATCCGAGACGAGGGTGTTATGGAGGAGATGATGTGAGGACGAAATAAAAGCTTGTAGGCAGTTGTGGTGCCAGGTCTTAAAGATTGCAGAGAATAGAGTGCAATGGTGGCGTGCTACTCAAGCCCGTATGTTCCACTAGGAACCCAAGGGAAAAAGTAATAATATAATAATAGTAGGACGAAACAACGGGTTTTCTAGTTGTTTTCCAAATGGTATCCATCTCCGGTGAAAACCACCTTTTGAGGTCTATCCTAACTATCCTAGTTTTGATCTGTATAATAATGATGTGTGGTAACCAATGCCATGCTGATAGGCTAATGTGATAAAATCTAGTGACAGTGTATACGTTTATCTACACTTTGAGAACCGAGTATATTGTGTTGTGCGATGCTAATAATACAAGTGACTTTAATAGGCCACCGTAATAACTGATGAATAGATCAATCAGGCTTTGGTATTTCGCCTGCAAAAGTACTATTCCATAAAATAAAGCTATGTAACTTGCTGTCTAATTAGTTGCTAGGGTGCTTTTAAAGTTTAAATGATTAGCATCAACGTTATTGAGTTACTGGATGTAGGTGGTTAGGTGATTGTAAGTACTAAACAGAACGTACTTATTAATACCTATATTAGCAAAGTGTCTCTGTAGTCTGTACAATAATTACGTTTCCATAGTAATTCCAAACAACCCTTGCTGTCTGTTTGTATTGTTTAAGTAGATTAGTACACTATTCAAAATCCACCGAAACATATGGTCAAGATAGATAGATATCAAATTTACATTCAATTGAATATGGTTTCAGTATACATTTAGGATGAGTGACTTTAAAGGCCACCCTATCAACGATCGGAACAACTGATTAGGTTTCTTTGTTTTGGTTGATAAAACAGATTTTCATAAAATATAGATGTCTCATTGATTATTTCACTTGTTGCTAGGGTGGCCTTTAAAGTCATCCTTTAGATTGCTCCCTAAAGTTACAATTTTTCAAATGATCACCTGGGCCTTACATACTGGACATATGATTTGATTGGAACTCCTTCGGTAAGGTGAATCACGTATTCCCTAACCAGTATCAACGATAAGTGTGATATCAACTGCTGAATAACGGATATTTTATAACTTCTGAAAGTATAGTCTAGTAGTTGAAATGACTGTTAACTGATGAACTAGTAAAGTACATTATATAGCTAAATCGTTTCATGTACGACCTACATTTAAGTAAAACAAGTGGCTTCTGTTCCAAGTAACAATATTTTAGCACAAGTTATTACTGGTGGTCCAGTTTTGTTTCTATTTATTATTATTATTTGTCTCTTGGGTTCCTAGTAGGACAAAGGGCTTCAATAGCACCCCGTCATTTCACTTCATCCTCTGAAGTCTACTCAACCTGGCCCCACGACTGTCCATAAGTTGTCATTTCTTCTTCGGATCATCTCCTGCATGTCACCGTCACTTCGGATGCCCAACTCGTTGTTTCCTATTTCAGTTCCACTAGAGGGACTTGCTTAGAGCGTAATGTTCCCAGTCAACCTTCTCAGTGTATCCTTAATCCATCTTCACTTTCTTCTGTATCGGTTTCGTTTGGCTAAGGTATATTTTTTCAAATTATGATATGTTTATTATGAAATCATTACATACCTGGAATGTGGGTTTGGAATAATTGCGTAAATAGACCATTAGGTGCTAGATTATACATTGTACAGCGAAGAAATTGACGAGCGATACTGGCAACATTCCCAGGGCTGATGATATGTGAACTGAATAAAAAAAACCGTAAAAATTGGTATTAAATAGATAAGTTGAACGTTTTGCTTAAAAGGGACTTAAAAACTTTACAAAACGACCAAATAAAGGATTTGGATCGAAGTGAAGTAGTAAATTTCCTCTCTCAATAAGAATTAGTTTCCTGCCAATAAATGAGACTCCTCCAGATTTAGGCAAATCCAAAAATATTAGAAGTATGATAACTACGCCTCTCTTAAGGCAAACAAATGCCTCATCATAATTATGTACCAGCGCATTAGTGCCAATAAGCTTACACCGTGCAATTATTTGAGCATCTGGCCAGGAAATCCGGACCTGTTGAATACAGGTTGAACACAGATGCGCAACGAAGGTGAGCCTCTTTGTGACCCACCGAATTTAAACTCATATACCGTATTAGTTGACTTAACGGTAAACGTGGTCGATGAGATCAATATGCGGTAATTAGTGGTATGGGTCTTCAAAGCATGAACAGGTTAGTAGACTTCCAAGACTCCACCCAGTGAACTGAACTCTGAGAGCAGTATGCCATAAAAAAGTAAGGGAATTCAGCTTTCTGATTATGGTAGTCATTGTTGTTGATTCTATCTCAAAAGAAGAAATTTGGTTTACTTTGAGAATGTTGACAGTATTCGGTCCGGAATGCGGGGTATCGTTTGTTGTAGCAGAGGTCCTAGGATGACCTGATAGCCTCAAAGCATGGCTTGTTCTGAAATGTCGGTAACAGGAAGTTGACAGGTTTCACAAAGGTGTGCTGCATCACTGTCTGCAAGATCGTGGATAACCAGTGAGAGGTATCCTACCCGCATCTACCCACTGGAAGGTGATTACGGTCAACAAGCCAATGACCCTGTGAAAACGGATACGTTGAAACCTGGAAGTTCGGAGGGTAGGATTCACTGATCAGTTTTGAAGCAGCATTAATAGAGTGCTTTGGTAGCAGCATTGTTTTTCATGTAGTTGCGTTGAGGAAAGATGTTTCCTGCTCAGTTAGAGGCCTGGTCCCCCAGGTTAAGAGATGATGACGTTCAAGCAAACGAATTTCAAGCCTGGAACTAGGAGCTGAGCCAAAAACTTGAGTAAAATGTTACTAAATAAACTCTTCCAGTTCTAGGCAAAGCTAACAACATAAGGAGTAGAAAATCAGACCTTGATGTTCTTGTAAAGTTATGGTCAATATAGATCATATTTAGTACAGCTATGATCTTACTTTCTATGCTGAAAGAATGATCTAATTGCATTGAACGTTTTAAGGTGGAATCGTATAAGATGGAACTTATTGACTTGCATATCCTTAAGGAAAATATCTTTAAAAAGACAGAATATATGGTGAACATGGCATTCAAATACGTTCGAAGATGTAGATATAAGCTAAGCATCTGGAAATAAAACGAGAAGCACGTATCGTGCTCTAGTGGCCTTACGGATAGTGCTTTGATGTTTGAAGTGGTAGGTGTGAGTTTCGAATCTCAGTGAGACTAACGCCACCCATTGAGTTGCGGATACACCTATCTGGCAATTCTTAAATAGGATAGGATCCGCGTCTTGGATTCCACTGCTAACCTTAACGAAGTCAGTATTGAGGCATCCACATAACAACCCATAAGCTAACAGAAGTCAATCAGTTCAATCCAATATGACAACTGAAATTCACAAGTATCAAGAAGTAATAAAACAAGAACGATATATTATCAAAATGAATCACATCGATATAGATTTTATGAGTAGACATCACATAGAAATCACTGAGAAGGGATTTATTGACTTCATGTTGGTATTCATCATGGACTGATGTCAGTTAGTGGAACAATGGAAACCTGGGAGCACTGAATAGCTGTTTCAACCAAGTGTGAGACTCCTCAGCAGTGTGCACCCATTCCCCCCCCCCAGGGATCGAATTGTTAATCAAAATACAAATTAGTAGTTTATAACTAGGGTGGGATCAATACTATATAGTATGTGACAGCTGACTGGAGACGAGTAGGGAGGTAACAGTTGCCTTACTGAGAACATTAACGTTACATGAGTTAATGCTTGGAGAATCTTAGTGACATAGTCTAAAACCAATCCAATGGCTTAGATATAAACAGTCTCTATTATATTGAAAATTTTGTAGTATTCCATTGTTGATTGAACCGAACTGATTCATCTCTATTGGCATATGGACTTCATTGAGGATGCTTGAGTATTGCCTAGGTTTCAATCTTATATTACTACTGGATAGTGGCTAACAGTAGAATCCGGGACGAATGTTTCATCCCATTTCGAACTCGTCAGCTGAATGTATCTGGATAACAGTGAGTGGTATTGTCCCCACTAGGTCACGGATGAGGAATCGACCGCTTCAAATGCCAAAGTGTTATCCACTAGGCTGCAACTTCACGATAGCCACCTTTTTAAAAAGTTGTTACTTGTATTCTTTTTTTGTTTTGAGTATAATTAGAACGTTACGTATTTTTGAGATGAATGGAGATTTTTAATTTAGAAGTAGTATTCATCATGGATTGACATCAGTTGGGAAACCATTGAAAATCTGGGAGCACTGGACAGCTGTTTCGCTTTAGTATGGGACCCCTTAGCAGTACGCATCAACCACCCGGCTAGGGATCGAGCTCAGGACATTCAAGTTTCACGGCGAACACGTTAACCATTCAGCCACTGGGTCGGTTTCCAGTGGCTCACAATTTTTAACTTCTATCAATTCACGATATAGCGCGACTAAATTAAAATCCCCATTCATCTCAAAAATACATTACTCTATAGTGATCATTAGTGACTTGCTTCCAGATGGATATCAGGAAGCTCTAATGAGAAGCCGTGACTTGTGGGGTCAACCAGTCGAAAGTGAAGTGGATACTCTAACTGAAGACCTTGGGTGACAGTCACTCTATGTCATGAATTGATAGAAGTTGGAAATTATGAACCACTGGAAACCGACCCAGTGACTAAATGGTTAACGCGTTCGCCGTGTAACCTGAATGTCCTGAGTTCCATCCCTAGCCGATTGGTGGTGGTGGATGCGTACTGCTGAGGAGTTCCATACTAGGACAAAACAGCTGTCCAGTGCTCTCAGATTTCCAATGATTCCCCTAACTGATATCAATCCATGATGAATACTACTTTTTCTAAATTTTCTCAGATTTATTATATAATCTATTGTTCAATAAAAATATATATGCATATCATAATCAAAAGATAAAGTACTTACAGTTCAGGTTGCCAAGAATAGAAATATGTGCTAGCTAAACGTGCTGTAGTTAACAGCATATCACGTAAATATGGAGCTGCTAAACTTGGTTCACGATGTACAAATGTAGATAAACAAAGAATACCAAGTCCAAGTGTATTTTCATCATAATGTTCTAAGATACACTGACACCATGGACATCTTTCAGTAGTCAAAGCAAAAGTTATTGCAGCAGAAGTTAAATTTGGCATAATATTTATATTAGTATTTTGTATATGATTATGAATATTTGTACTGATAGTATTATGAGTAACAGTAGAGGATGATACAGGTATATAACTATTCTTTTTAATACTTTCATACTTTTTATCTAATTTAATACCATTAGATAAATAAAGATCTTCAGCAACTGATTGTGAACGATTCACTGTTAATGTATTTGAACAAGATGAATCATTCGAATGAAATTTATGATGTGATATACCATCTTCATTAAATGTATCTAATGGATGAGATATAGAATATTTAGTTGATTGATTATTGAAACGTTTACTTTTATTTATAAGCTGGACAGAATCCGTTAATTGGGTTGATTGACTATGATTACATAAATCTGTTCTAAGTGGTTTCAATTTTCTAAAGGAAAAAAAAAACAAGAAGAAGGATTATTAAAACAATATTATATTACTGATATTTTTCCCTTGGATTCCTAGTGGAACATAGGACTTCAATAGTACGCCTCTAGTTCACTCTCTTCTCTGCAGTCTTTTCAACCGATGCTCACAAGCTTTCATTTCTGTCCCACATCATCTCCTGCATGTCCCCATTGCCTCGGACATCGAGGGTCTGGCTTGGCTTGGTTCGTTATGTCTCCAATCGGCCTTCTCGGTGTATACCTAAACCATCTCCACTTTCCTCTTTTGCATATTTATTTAGTAATAGGTTCTTGATTGGTTCGTTGCCAGCCAGCGTTTCTTATTGCTTATTCTTATTATTCTGGCCATCTGATCTTCATTATGAGTATTGAGTGAGCGTAAGGCGACAGCTGTTGATGTGGTGTACGCCTGCAGTTTGTTGGAAACGCTTTTTGTGACTTATCAAGTTTCTGAACCACATAGCAGGACTGACTTGACATTGATGCTGAAAAATCGAATCTTGTTTTTTGTGCTAAGTGCAGTAGATCTCGCCTAGTTAACTAGTTCACTAGCTACTAGCCAGTCCTAAGCCCGGATAAAGAGGGAAGGTTGGGTATAGGGCTAGCAACCATACCCCGTAAAACCAATCCAATCGCTAAAGAAACTTCAAAGCATAAACAAAATTATAAAAAATAAAGACAAAACAATCAGAAGATGTAAATTGTTTGGACCATGAAAGTTAATTAGGTAGCACAAAATAATCAGAGAGCCAAAACTAGATCTTCAATTTGTTCCAAAGAAGGATCTCGTTATCAGTCTTCCATACAAAGGCAACTCTCAGTGCAATTCTTAAACACAGGCATAACGCTGCTGTTAGAAGGAATTATCACGCAGTCAGGGTTCGATTATTAGAAATAACGAAGCCCATACCTCCACAGTAAGTGAACGATAATGTCACATCCTGTAGGAGGGACTCATAGATCCATGCAAGTAAGGGCCTCGGAACATATTTCAAAGTGGCTTCTGAAGCAAATTAAATAACCTGAACCCATTTACTTCGGTAGAACACGTCAAAGTTCTTCGATCGTCAACCATAGCGTTGAGATAGGTCACAAGATTAATATGGCTACTTCCTTTACACCTATTTACAAAATGTGTTAGGTACGGATCCTTAAATTTGTTGAGGTCTTAGCTATTAGAAAGTTGAAATCACCTTTGTGTGTTCATCAATAATTTGTCATTACATAAAATCTCCCCTGGTAAATTCAACTATGAAAACCACGTTCGATTTACTATTTTCCGGTTATGCAACCGTACTAACCTCGGTTCGAATCCGGGCAGCGACTCCATTCGAAAGAAGGAAGAAGACAGGTATGAAGGAAGGAATGGTCGTAGAAAAGAAGTGGGACAGTAATCATTAAATATGGTACACCTTGCACTAAAAGCGTCATTTGCAAAATGTGCTTCATATCCTCTTCTACTTCTTTATTGATTTGCTCTTCATACACCCGGCCTGTCTCCTGCGTTTCTATTGGGGGGAATCTCTACCCATTGCTAGCGATTCCCTATGATTTCTGCTATACTAATTATATCCATTCTTATCAACCTCGCCTGGTTAACTAGTTCACTAGTTACTAGCCGGTCCTAAGCCCGGGTAAAGAGGGAAGGTTGGGCATAGGGCTAGCAACCCTACCCCGTAAAACAAATCTAGCCGCTAAACAAACTTCAAAGCACAAACAAAATATAAAAAATAACAACAAAATTATTGCTCGCTGGAATCGGAGAGGCGAAAGGACGCCAGTTGGTGAAAGCCATCGGGAAACCGATTGGCCAATGTGTCTTCTCTCGATGAAAGCGAAAGTAAACGTGGGGACATGGAATGTCCGTACGATGTTTGAACCCAGTAAGGCAGCCCAGATTGCAAAGGAGATGAGAAGGTATAACATCGAAGTGCTTGGGATTTGCGAAAGCAGATGGAACGGGAGTAGACTCTCCAAACTGTCAACTGGAGAATCAATAATCTACTCCGGTCACCCAGACGCCAACCACGAGCACACTGAGGGAGTGGCTATCATGATGTCCTCAAGAGCATCGAAGGCTCTCATGCAGTGGGAACCAATCTCCTCCAGGATCATGACAGCAAGATTCAACTCAAAAGGAAGAAAGGTCACAATCATACAATGTTATGCACCTACAAATAATGCAGAGCAAGAGAAAAAGGAGGAATTCTACAGACAACTTCAATCAACACTGGACAAGACGTCAGTTGGCGATATCAAAATTCTAATAGGCGGAGTGACATGAATGCCAAACTTGGAGGGGACAACACAGGAAGAGAACTAACCATGGGTCGAGAGGCGCTAGGTGAAATGAATGAGAATGGAGAATTGTTTGCAGAATTCTGCTCATTCAACGATTTGGTAATTGGAGGCAGTGTGTTCAGGCACAAAGATATCCACAAAGCGAGTGACATGGATTTCACCAGATGGACACACTAAAAATCAAATCGACTTTATCTCAATCTCAAGAAAATGGCGACGCAGTCTACTTAACACAAGGTGAAGAAGAGGAGCAGATGTAGGTTCAGACCACTCACTACCTAGTGCAAGGAACCTTCCAAATCAAGTTGAAAGCCTTCAAGGAAGCTGGTGATAGATCTCAATTCAAGTACAACACTCGGAAACTGAAGGATGAAACTACAAAGAAGATCTTCAAGGCAGCCATCAAGACAAAATGGGAGACAGCGAGCAACATCCCTGAAGAAACCTGTGTGGAAGAACACTGGAAGTCTTTGAAAGCTATGTGGAAAGAAACCTGCACAGTCATATTAGGAAGGAAGAAGAAAGAAGACAAGGAATGGATCTCGACGGATACCTGGAAGCTGATAGAGGAGAGGAGGATGGTGAAACAGAAGATAAACCAGTGCAAGGACGCTCAACGACAAGAGGAACTGAGTACAATGTATAAAACACTGAACAAGGAAGTAAAGAAGAGTGCACGCAAAGACAAACGACACTTCTACGAAACACTAGCAAGCGAAGCAGAACAGGCTGCAGGTAAGAGAGACCTGACGACATTGTATCAAATAACCAGGTTGCTATCAGGGAACAGATCAACACAGATGAAACCAATAAAAGATGAAGAAGGAAATTTAATTACAAAAGAAGAGAAACAGAGGGAACGATGGGCCGACCACTTCAAGAAGCTCTTGAATCGACCACCACCTGCACTTCGTCCAGAAATACCACCTACGGCCGCTGAATTACAAGTGAACATAAATCCTCCAACGAAAATGGAAGTCCTGAACGCCATAAAGCTACTGAAATGCGGGAAAGCAGCAGGACCAGACGGGATACCGCCAGAAGCACTGAGAACAGACGCAGAGACAACAGCAGACATGCTCACACCACTATTGCAGAAGGTGTGGAAGGAAGAGAAGGTACCTGGCCATTGATTGGAAGAAGGGTTACCTTGTCAAACTGCCGAAGAAAGGAGACCTCAGTGTTTGCAAGAACTGGCGAGGAATCACTCTCCTGTCCACCCCAAGTAAAATATTAAGCCGCATCATCCTGGAGAGGCTTAAAGACGCACTGGATTCAAAACTACGACCAGAACAGGCAGGCTGGATTCAGGAAGTACAAATCATGTGCAGACCAAATTGCAACGCCACCCTACGCATCATCATAGAACAGAGCATAGAATGGCAATCAACTCTCTACCTCAACTTCATAGACTTTGAGAAGGCCGGCATTCGACAGCGTCGACCGAGAGGTAATTTGGAAACTGCTTCACTACTACGGAATTCCACAAACCTTTATCAGCCTCATTCAACAACTATATGAAGACGCCACATGCCGGCCAAGTAATTCACAATGGGAAGCTCAGTGATGCTTTTGAAGTGAAGACAGGAGTGAAACAAGGTTGTCTACTATCCCCCATGATATTCCTTATTGTGGTCGACTAGACTGGATCATGCAACAAACGGTGGGGAGCTTATCTAGGCAGCACTGTTTCAACTACAGGCGGGACAGACGAGGATGTCAAAGTCAGAATCGGAAAAGCAAGACAGGCGTTCATTAGCCTGAAACCAGTGTGGAGATCTTCTGCACTCAGCATGAAGCATGAACAAGATCCGGATTTTCAACACCAACGTCAAGTCAGTGCTTCTGTGTGATGGTTCACAGACTTGGCGCGTCACGAAAGGGATTTCCAATAAACTACAGACATTCATCAACAACTGCTTACGCTGACTCGCTACTGAAGATCAGATGGATTGCCAGAAAGAATAAGCAACAAGGAACTCTGGGAACGAACCAACCAAGAACCTATCACGCAACAAATATGTAGGAAGAAGTGGAGATGGATTGGGCATGCACTGAGAAGGCCGACTGGGGTCATCACGCGTCAGGCCAGTCGCTCGAGTGGAATCCCCATGGGAAGCGACGAGTTGGGCGTCGGTGCCGAGGGTGACATGGAGGAGGTCGTGCGAGGAGGAAATGAGAGTTTGTGGGCTGTCGTGGAACCAGGTTCAAAAGATTTCAGAGAACAGAGAGCACAGGAGACGTGCTACTGAAGCCCTATGTTCCACTAGGAACCCAAGGGACTAATAATAATAATAATAATAATAATAATAATAATAATAATCCATTCTTATCAGCAACGCCCTACACACTATTATTTTTGCTCCAGTGATTTTCATCATTATTTGACCTTCAATTCAGTCTGTCTACTTAACTTGTCTTATTACTTTCTCACGCCTTATCTTCATGAATTTTCATATAAATACCCGTGACAAGTAAGTACTTGTATGATCAGATAGTTCGAAATGTGTTACGCAAATACATTACACGGTTCAGACAATTAACTTCTTGTTAAATTTTTTTTATTAAATAACCTCAAATAGGATAGTTAAATCGTCCGATAAATCTGTTACCTGTATGTACTCAGTTAATACTTCTAAACACAAATTATACAAGATAATAAAAAAGAGATTAATGGCAGGTAGTATTAAAAGTCAAATATGAACAAAGAATATTCATTCTCAATTACATCTCATCCCGTTCTATACTTATACATTCATAATTCCCATTGTTACATCAAACACGATATTCAGTGTGAAGAGGATTATTTCCAACGGATTTATACTCAACATGTACATTCGTGTATATATGTGCGGTTGAAATAACAAAAAAGGAATGAAGCACATCAAGACCAAAATAAGTTAAGGTAAAGGTAAAGACAATGATTGTACATATTTCCTTTGAACATAAAGGTCAGACTGACTTCAGTTCATGGATAGCCAAGGCCTTTGCTGTCTTTAGAAGTTGAAGACGGAGGAAAAGTGAGATGTTTGAACGAATTCGATAGACAACCTTAAAATTATTGTTTGGTTCGGTTGAATGGTTGGAACTGATTAAATGTTCAAGGATACAACTTCTAATGGATTTCCTTTCACCCTTATTAAGTCAGGCTAGAGTATGTTTTGTATGCATGTTGACAGTAATCTCTGACTACAGTCGATGTACCTTGCTCCAGAGGAGCAGGTGAACTAGTAGAGATACACATGGAGGTGGCCTGTCGATGGATATTATCTTTTACACAAACAGAGAATAATTAAGGACTGATAAAGATCAAATGAAGTTTGACTGAGAAAAAGTCCTATTAATGGATCTTTAATTGATTCGATCCAAGTGTATCTAACAGTTTACCTGCTCCTGTGGATCAAGGCCAAGGTCCAAATTTTCGTTTCACCTTCAATCATTACCCACTAACAATACTGGTCTGCCAAACTATGACTATCTCAAATAGTCAAAATGATAATCATTATGATGCTCCCCCTCTCTGATTCAGTTGAATTTCGATTGGTATGAGAAATCTTGACTAGGCAGCCGCTTTGAATACGATCAAGCGGTAGTAACGTGTCACGAATTGACATGGTAGTCAAGTAAAACTCCTGATGACTGAAGTGAAATAAAAACCTGGTCAGCACTCGGACCTCGTGGCTCAGCTGGTAGAACATTGGGCCAGAAACCTGGTGGCCACTGGTTTGAATCCGGCAGCGACCCAGATTTTCACCTCATCTTCAATCATCACCCAGCATAAATACTAGTCTACCAAACTAAGGCTACTTCAGACAGCTAAACGAAGATATTGTTCATTAGCGTAGTGAAATTTTTAAAGGAGAAGCAAATAATGCGATTAGATGGTTAAGTAGTATCGCTTGATGCGGTCATTGTTGGTGAAAGTTATTTATGAAAGTGTAAACCCCTCTAGGATTCATTTTTGAATACGATAAACTTTCAAATGATTTGCCAAGCTCTTTCCATTCCCTTCCACAAATGCTTTTTTATACTCATCACAATGACTTATGAATCTGACAGGACGATACTCACAACCATGCCACTGTTACTGGTGCTCACTTCCGTCCATATCAATTTGATTTAATCGATCAGAGATAGTCGCTTAGTTCGCTAAGTATTTTATAGTCTGTTATGATGTCTAGTAGTTTAAAATAGCTGAGCGATGGATAAACATTGGATCAGCAAATATGAGTCTGCATGAAACATCACCTTGACTAGACTTCATTCACCTAGATAACTTAAATACTATTTACTATTTCATAAAAAGTCAATATGAAGATGTAATAAAGATTATTACACTTAATTACCTTCTGAAAAGTATGTAAATTACTAGAAAGTACTATGACCAGTAATACAACCTAGCAGTCTATGAGTGATACAAACCTAACATGCAAATAGAATCTACTCTAATCGCTAATTGGAATTTCAACCAGAACAACAGTGATACCACCGGCACAGAAAGACAAGTAAAGGCGGACAGTTGGTAGACAGTTTCTACTGTTGCAACAAATATCCAAACGCTTGACAGCGATACAGTATATATACATTCTAAACAACCTTGACAAAAACTAAATTCACTCATAAGTTAAAAGGCCTAACAACCAATGAGAATTCAGCCATCAGAAGCAAAGGGAAAAACAAAAAAGTTAGCAATGACTCCAAGAAGGCAATATGAACAGCAATAACAAGGCTATATTAAGGTAATAGGTAAATATCAAGCAAAAGCTAGGCAAAAAATAGGGGTATATAACCGAAAGTCAAATGAATTCTTACTTTTCTTCTTGTATAGTGGAAGCAGACCCTCGTTTTGGAAATTTTAGTGTTACTTTCTTCGGTGATTTACATTCATTTGATCCACCTATGAAATGGAGAAAATTAAAAAAATTGTAAAATATGTAATGTCTCTGACTCCATTGCTTTATATGTATGTGAACCGGTTAAAACTTGAAATTATATTAGTCTTGATGATTCCAGAAAACAGAAATGTTTCCATCTTCAAAGGGGAATAAAGAAATGTCAATGAAGAAGCTCTACTCGGCCAAGGTTTTGTGCATGTTGGCACTTATCAACAAGGCATGCCTGCAACCTCAAGGGAGCTGGTATCCCCTCTGAGATTCCAAACCACGTCATGTAGTGTTATTGTCAACGACGCAATGATTATCTTCTGTAATTGAAAATAATCCAAACTATAGAAGGCGTACATTCCCTAGCCTTAGTCGATTGGAACAAGTGAGGTTAAAGCGATAAGAAGTTTTATCTTAGCCTATCTGATGAAGACAAAGAATGATATAGATGCTAATATAGCTTTTACTATAATACATAATGTTGTAGCTAGTTCAAGCTTCCTACATATTTCTGAAGCTGTAACAATAAGCTCAAAAAAAATCGAAACCTTGAATTCTTATAGGGACACTTGGTCTTTCATAGACTAAGAGATATTCATGTCACCCTTTATTGTTCATATTTTTGAAATAAATGGGTGCGTACTGTTGAGAAATCCCATGCTAGGACGAAACAGCTCTCCAGTGATTCCAGGTTTTCAATGGTTTCTTAACTGATATCAGTGTATGCTGAATGCTATCACAACATTGTTTAAATGCAAAATAAGTCATTCTAAAACCGGACAAAAAACGAAATTAAAAACATAATTCGATTTTATGATTTGTTGGAATTTATTTATTGATTTCAAATTAGTGTTCATCATGGACTGACATCAGTTGAAGTAACATTGAATACTTGGAAGTAATAGACAACTCTTCTAGCCCAGTATGAAATTCTTCAACAGTGAACATTCATTACACTGTGATCGATCGAATTCACACGATCTCGATAAATGATGAATATTAAATGAGAAATTTACAAAGGAAATATATTTGTACACTGAACAATTTCGGTTATATAAACTGTGGAACGTATTGAGAATATTCTTCATTCATATTATCTTTTCATGAATCCTTTTCTATTCAATTTAGTTGATATTTAGAGAAAAAGAGATATTTAAAGGGGAAAAAACTTTTCCTTGTTGCTGATATCATTTTCTAAGGCTGTCCTTTGGGTTCCTAGTAGAATATAGGGCTTCAGTAGCATGTCATCATTTCACTCCATTCTCTCCAGTCTACTCAACCTGAATCCACAACTCCTCACAAACTTTCATTTCTGCCTCACATCATCTCCTCCATGTCACCCTCATCTCGGACGCCAAACTCGTCGTTTCCCATGCGCGTTCTACTCCAGCGACTGGCATGGCGTGGCCTGGTGCGTGATGTCTTCAACTGGTCTTCTCAGTGTATGACCAATCCAATTCATCTCCACTCTCCTCTTCTGTATAGCTGTTGGGTGATAGGTTGTTTGTTGGTTCATTGCCAGAACGTCCAGATTTCACTGTTCCTTGCTTATTCTTATTATTCTGGTCATCCATCTCATCTTCAGTGTCAGTGTTGAGTGAGCGTAGACGTAGGTGGTAGCTGTTGATGTGATGTATGTGTGTAGTTTGTTGGAAATGATTTTCGTGATGCTTCAAGTTTCTGAAGTATCACATAGAAGCACTGACTTGACATTGGTGTTGAATATCCGTATATTGTTCACGCTTTATGCTGAGTGTATCACTAACCTGGTGCTAAAAAACTGGAATCACAATTGGAAAGTAGTTGTGTAATAATCTTTTAGACAGTAAAAAATAACGAGGAAGGCAAGGAGTTTGACAAGGTGAAAATTTTTGGTAGATGAGAAATGCGAATATTGAGCGTTCACCTGATAGATAGATGCACAGAAGGTAGAGATTAAGATAAGGGTGATGATGAAGTTGATAATAATAAACTAATTATAATGAAATCGAAAAATGTGAAAGTATTAAGACCATGGTAAGATAAGAGATTGAACGCAGAGATCGGGTTTGAATCGAAGAATTGCCAATGCTTCTGCTGTACACAACTGTAGAATGCGTACTCCTTTTAAACTATTCCATTTGATCTGATAAATAACACTGAAGGAGGATTCTGGTTGATTTATATGTTCAGAGTTGGCCAAATGTTCAAGAATTGATTCGGATTCTCCCCTCAATAAGTATGCAGGTTAGTGCTCAGAGATGCGTTTGGAAAGAGTGAACTTCATGCGGCCTATATAACTAGTTCCACAGGAGCTAGTAAATTTGTAGACACATTGAGGTAACCCTAAGTGGAACTTGTCCTTAAAGTACTCCGGAACCAGTTGCTGACTAGAGAAGCTGATCTGCAGCTTCGCAGAGGGAAAAGTCTTCTTCAGTGATATGGACATCCGAATCTTCAGGATCTCTGTAACCGTATCGCCTTTGAAACCAACGTTCATAAATAAGGTCTTTGGAATTGTGATTACTTGCTCCATATTCTGTTTTAATTTCAAGTTCTTCTCAATAAAACTGGATCGTATCCATTTTGCATGAGGATCTTCCACAGTTTGTCTAATTCATCGTTGATAGTATCACTCGTACAGATTCTTCTGATTCTTGAAGATATAGAACGAATCAGATTCCTTTTTTTGCTCAGAGGCACCCCCCCAGCTATGGAAATTCAAATTGTGTTCATTCCTTAAAGACGTGTCAAACTCCTTATCTTCTTCGTTATTTCTACTGTCTGAAAGATTATTACGCAACTACTTTTCATTCCTCATCCTGGTTTTTGGCTCTAGATGGCTTAATGATGCAATTATACACTAATGTTTAATAATAATAGACTGTTATATGTTTATTGCACTCTCTTATCTGCAGTCTTCCAAACCTGGCACCACGACTGCCCAACAGCTTTCATTTCTTCCTCACATCATCTCCTCCATGTCACCCTTGTCTCGGCTGACCAACTTATCGTTTTCCCTTTGGGATTCCACTCAGAGGACTGGCCTGGTGAGTAATGTCCCCAAATCGTCTTCTCGTGTATGCCTAATCCATCTCCATTTTCCTGTTCTGCATATTTGTTTGGTAATAGGTTCTTGGTTGGTTCGTTGCCAGAGTTCCTTGTTGCTGATTCTTATTATTCTGGCCATCTGATCTTCAGTATCTAGCGAGCGTAGGTTGTCAGCTGTTGATGAATATCTGTGGTTTGTTGGCGTGCTTTTCGTGACGTGTCAAGTTTCTGAGCCATCACATGGCAACATTGAATTGACATTTGTGTTGAATATCCGGATGTTGTTCACGATTTGTGCTGAGTGCAGTAGATCTCCATACTGATTTCAGATTAGTGAAAGCCTGTCTTACTTTTCCGATCCTGGTTTTGACATCCTCATCTGTGCCGCCTGTACCTGAAAGGATGCTGAGTAGGAAGGTAGGTGAGGGAAAACTAATCAGTTGGATCTATCATATGCAATGATCAATAATAATTAATAAATTTACTTGTCTCTGTGGAGATAGTCATATAAGTCACACAGACTATGGGCTTTCCAAAGGTATCAGTGAGAAATATCCTGTATAATTGTCGAGTGGAGAATGTAAATCAAATAAAACAGGTCAGTTCTTGAATATTCAGTCAAATCTAGATATACAGCTCCAGCAGAATCCTTCTTCAGTATTATTTTTCACGGTCAAAAGAAGTATGCTAACGACAGTTGTGTACAACAGAAACACTTCCACATTTTCTTCCTTTCCTTCTTTCGACTTCATTATAATTCATCAGTTTACGATTGCCTTCTTCATCATCCTTATTTCTGACTTCATCTATCAAGTCGACACTTAGAACCATTATACTTCATATATATCAACAATTTTCAGTTTATTAAAGTCCTTCTCTTTATCTTTGTTTGTGTGGTTTGATGAAATATTATGCAACTTCTTTCCCGTTTTCCTTTTAATTTTATCACCAGCTTAGTGATGCAACTATACCCTATTCTTCAGTAACAGACGGTCGTAAGTTTGTGATCTTTGTATATGAATACGACTGTACAGCTTTATAAAATGACAGTCTTAAAGTGTTACGTAATCATTGAGGGTAAAAAAACGAGGAGAAAACTTTCCATGTAAAAAACCCTGAATATTAGCGCATAACGGATAAACTAATAACTTAAAATAATTAGTTGGGAAAGAAAACATTTTCGCATATTTTTAAGGTTGCCTTCACCATGAACTGACCGATTGAAAACCTGGAAGCAAATTTACAGCTGTTTCGTCCTAGCATAGGACTGTTCAGTGTCGTGGGTAAGTACTAGTGAGGAGACCTATACTAGGACGGAACGTCTGTCCGGTGCTCCCAGGTTTTCATTGATTCCTCAACTGAAATCAGTCTATGATGATATGGAAATAGACATCTCAAAGTTTTAATCAGAAGCCGTGGTCAGTATGCTTAATCAGTTGGAAGTGAAGTTGATATCTCTCTATATCACTAACTGACAGACGTAGCCAACTGTGGACCCTTGAAATCTGGCCCAGTGACTGAATTATAAGTGTGTTCATCATGAAATCTGAAAGCTCTACGTTCAATCCCTAGGCGGGGTTGTAGGTGTGTATTGGTGTACAGTCCCATACTAGGATAAAACACCTGTCCATGGGTTTCAATCATCCCCCCCCCCTCCCATCTAGAATCAGTCCGCGATGAATGCAACCTTAGAAATAAAATCTCCATAAAACTCAAACTAGATTTTTTCATACGTTAAAAATGAAGAAAATGATTCTCACCTTTTATTTGTGATTCATTTGTCGATGTTTCATTTACTTCCTTTCTTTCCTGTATAACATTTGTCTCAGAAGAATCTGTTAGAAGAGGCTATAGACAGATACATAGAATATGATGAGACGAAATTATATTAGGAACCAACAAAGAGTAGCGAAATTACACAATCCATGCTCTAGATTCAAAATTACGACCGGAACAGGCTGACTGGCTTCAGGAAAATAAATTATATGCCAGTCAATTTGCAACGCAATGCTAAGCTACGCATCATCATAGAATACAGCATAGAATAGCAGTCAACAGGATTCTTACCTCAACTTCATCGATTTTGAAAAGGCTTTCGATAGTGTCTACCAAGGAGTAATTTAGCAGCTGCTTCAACACTACGGAGTATCACAAACCTTTTTCAGTCTCATTCAACACCTACATGCTATATGATGCTACATCCCAAGTGATTCACAATGGAAATCTCAGTTATGCCTTTGAAGTAAAGACAGGAAGGAGAAAGATAAGGCTGCCTACTATAACCTATGATCTTCTTGATTGTGGTCAACTGGACTGGATCATGCAACAAGAAGTGAGGAGTGGGAAAATGGGCATAAACTGGCTGGACCGATGAAAAGACCCTAGAATATTTGCATTTCGCCGATGATGATTTGTCTAATGTCACACAAACCCGAAGAACTGCAGGTAAAAAGTAACAAGCTGGTAGAAGAGGCGAGGCAGCGAAGACGGGAATGACTTTAGGTAAACGTAGAGGAGATAAAGGTGATGAAGATGCCCGAACAACAACAGGCACTAATCACCATCAACAGGAGAAATCTGAAAGAAGTTGTTTCTTTCACCTACCTACCTAGGCAGCATCGTTTCAACTATAGGCGGCAGCGGCGGCACAGATGAAGATGTCAAAGCCAGGATCAAGAAGTCAGCAACGCAGGCCTTCATCAGTCTGCAATAATCAGTGTGGAGATCCACTGCACTGCACTCAGCATACAGAACAAGATCAGGATTTTCAACACCAATGTCAAGTCAGTGCTTCTATATGATACTTCAGAAACTTGACGCGTCATGAAAACCATTTCCAACAAACTACATCACATCAACAGCTACCATATACACCTACGCTCACTCAACACTGACACTGAAGATCAGATGGATGACCAGAATAATAAGAATAAGCGAGGAACAAGGAAACGTAATCGTAATCGAAATGTAATCAAGTAAATAATACTGTATCACAGTGCGCTATATATCAGATAAACAAATCTAATATGGAATTACATTCTACCAAAGTGCCCAATTTTTACACTTATATTAAGGAACAAGGAACTCTGGATGTTCTGGCAATGAACCAACAAACAGCCTATCACCCAACAGCTATACAGAAGAGGAGAATGGAGATGAATTGGATTGGATTGGATTGGTCATACACTGAGAAGACCAGTTGAAGACATCACGCATCAGGCCATGCCATGGCAGTTGCTGGAGTGGAAGGCGGATGGGAAACGACGAGTTGTGCATCCGAGATGAAGGTGACATGGAGGAGATGATGTGAGGCAGAAATGAAAGTTTGTGAGGAGTTGTGGATTCAGGTTGAGTAGACTGGAGAGAATGGAGTGAAATGATGACGTGCTACTGAAGCTGTGTATTCCACTAGGAACCCGAGGGAAAAGTAGTATTTCATAATATTATATTACAATTTGAAAAGAAATAGTAACCAACCATATCTCTGTCTCTCTGCAACATGAACAATAATTGTTCGGCACACAATTTTACAATGGAATAAACGTAATAGTCAAAGCAAATGTATAGGCTACCACAACAGTGGAAAACTGGAGATCTTTCATTATAGATTAAGATTTAAAACATAGGCTTAAATGCAATTACTTCAATCGAGATAAATAGATGATTTCAGTAGCCTAACAAAATGAGCATAACTCATAGTTCAGTTTGATTAGCATACTCTGCATTTACTCGTCAAACATTTATTAACCATTTTCTTTAAACAACTATCCCATTTGAGAAGATTAGTGGAGAAGTGACCGATTTCAGAAGTGTTTTCGTATCAGATTGATTGATACATCAGATAGAATAGTTGCTGAATTACGTGATATATAACATGACAAGTATAAAAGTAATTAATTTTTCCTATCTTCTGACTAACTGCAAACAGCCTGAAATTATAACGATTATTGGATGTAATGGATAATGATTGGAGACGAAATGAAAATCTCAATCAGGATTCGAACCAGTAACCCCTTTGTTATCAATCCATTTTTCTACAGACTAAGCTACAAAACCCATATGCTGCTTTACTATCCGTTGACTGTTTTCACACTGGCTGGCCACTCAAGCGCTTCATCCTAATCAAAATTCACTTGATTTTAGAGAAGAAGAGCATCATATTAACTACTGAATGGTGGCTAGAGGTGTTATGAAAATCTAGACCGTGGGAGGATTCGAACCAATGGCCTACAGTTTATCGGTCAGGTGATATTATTTAAAGGTTACATAATCTAAATATATGAATCGAGAGAAAAATTAAAACCAATGTTATCCAACTTGAATTAATTCGAAAGATGAGGAGTGAAATGAGGAAAGAAGAATTACAGCAATAAGTAAATATAAACAATAAAGTTACGGATGAATATCGAAGATTCAAGAAAACTCATGCACATCATATGAAATACAACCTTCTTGATAGAATAGAGCAAATCCTGATATTTTTCCATATCCAAATATAAGGTTGCAATAGCCTGTAGACAATGATTTTTCCAAACTGGGATGAACTTATTCCTTATGATATATTTACCATCTTAAGATAAATAACTAAAAAACCTAGGAAACGTGAACCTTTGAGTTACTTTTACGTAATCATCTTGGTAGGATCATGGAAATACGTTATTGTAAATGTTTTTCTACTAGTGAATAGACAGAAAGGTCAGAGGTCAAGCAGAGGGATAGCCAACAAGAAAATCTATACAGTCAAAGGAAACAACCAATCACAGACCACATCGTCAGAGCAAACCATTAAATCACTCACGGAGAGATATTGACCAGCTCACTTCATATTGAAGTTAGGGCTGATGTTGTCTCTGTCTAGAAAGACGATAAAAACTTCACCATTAAACAACTCAACTCAGAGAACACAATACAACCAAGAGAATAGACTGTTTGAAAATGAATTAAGCAACACTTATTCCATAAGTAAAATCTCCATTAACCTCGAAATATACATTACTTATGATGGAAAAGATTTCTTTATAGCTCAGAATGAGGACGATGGAGGGTTAGTGGTATCTTTAGCAATAACTTCGTAAAGAAGCGGAACGTAATCGAATATTACATAAATGTTTAGATGGTGTTTTTAATAACTCTGGATATTGTTCAATTGTAAGTTAGAGAAGAAATCACTACACAACATATTGTTCAAACCAAAAGATCCATTAACCAAAAAAACAGCATTATGTTGGGTAGTTTAGCCGTGGGATTGCTTAAAGAATTCATGAACATCAACTTGCAGTAAAGGTACATGATATGGCCACCCTGGTTTCAATGTATGCAGACAATCATGATCACAAATTAAAGTCGTAGAATATGGAAATCCTTCAAAGAGCGGGTTGAAAAGATATAAGAGAATTTTCGTAAGTATAGAATTCAAATGAAATGTCAATCACTCATTTTAATACATGTGGATAATTATGGACATGAATTGAATTTCAATAATGTAGGAATTTTGGAGGGAGAGAAGAAACACAAAAAATATCAGAGAATTCCTAGAAGCTTGGCATTCAGGTCAGTCAGCACACACAAGTTGTATAGACATTGACCCGATCTATCAACCAATGACAAAGATGATAAACGACAGAAAGGTCAGAGGTTAAGCAGAGAGAAAATTTATACAGTCAAAGGAAACAACCAATCACAGACCCCTTCGTCAAGGCAAGCTACTCAATCACTTACGGAGAGATATTGACAGGTCACTTCATACTGAAGTTAGTGCTGATGATGTCGTCTAGCAAGGCGATGAAAGCTTCACGATTAAACAACCCAGCTCCTCAGAGAACACAATACAACCAAGAAATGTTAATCAACAGATATGTGGATATAGACCCAAAATTAACAATCTTCTTAGGAGGGAAACAGTTACCCATTAACCAAGGACATATTCACCAAACAAATTAGTAGTGATGTACAGTATGATGACAACAACAAATAGGACAATTTCATTCCAACAAAGAATATCTAATGTCGTGACTGAAGAAAATTTAAGGTCAAAGAGGTCAACGTATGATAAAAATTTCTTCCTCAACTGGGTCGCGTGTACTGCACAGCAGTCCACTCTGTTCTACTATATGGCTGTGAAACATGGCCACTGAAAGTGGAGGATACAAAAAGGCTTCAGGTGTTTGATCACCGTTGCCTTCGTAATATAGGACGTATTCCGTGGTGTCACCATGTGAGTAATGCAGAAGTTAGGTGTAGAGTTTTGGGGAGAAGAGGTAAGTCACTTGACGAGGTTGTGAACCTTCATCGACTGAGATGGTTGGGATACGTACTACGTATGCCTACGCCTGGTCACCGATTGCCTCGTCACACAATCTTGGCTCCGGTGGGTCCAGGCTGGAAAAAGGCCCCAGGTGGCCAGACTAAAACATGACACCAATGTATGAAGTCTCTGACTGTTGGTTTAAGCCATGTAGGACGATGCAGACTAGGTGGTTGGGGTGTGTGGGACAAGAGGAACCAGTGGTTGGAGACCCTAGGTGACATGGCTCAGAACCGAAGTCAGTGGCGCAGATGTATACACACATTATCCTCATCTTAACAACGCTATACCGAATCTCACCATTTTGTCACTCCTCCTTCTTTTCTTTTCGTACTTTATATTTCTTTTGACTGAATTCACTTATCTTCATCCTTCACCTCACTGCCTTTGTTACTTGATGTGCTGATATGAGGTGTGGCAACTCAGACCGTTACGCAGTAATGCCTGGTCCTATGTTGATAATGATGATGATGATAACAACCAAGGTCAAATAAGAACACCATCAAAACATCCGTGCAATATTCAATTATGCTTCACTTCTTTA